GCCCAATATTTTGATGAATATTTATAAATTCAGGTACATGATATACAAGTACATGAATGTAAGGAGTTATATCTGTTGGACAATAAAGTCCACGAACAAACCCTGGTGAGTTTATATTGCCTTGGGATTTGGTTAAAAATAATTTTAACCATTGGCGTGCTTTTTGATGAAATTGATCACCAAATATATTTGATTTATGTATATTAACATATAGATCGATAAAACCATCTCACAATTTTCTAATTAAAGTAGCTTTATGAGGAGCAAATATAATATTTAAATTAAAATCTTGTAAAACTTTAAGTCTATCATTTCCTGTTAAGGTTGTAAATAACCAAGTTTTGGTATCTTGATCTTCCCAGAATTGGAAATGAACTTGAATGCGACTCATTTCAGAAACAATTGCTTGGCGTGTTTGATTATTAAATTGATGTATACTACGTAGCTCACTTAAAATAAGTGACCATAATCGATCAAAGATTCGTAATAATAAATGAAGTTTATCTATAACCCAGTTATAAATAGGAATCATTGAGAATAATAAAGAATACTTATGTCCAGAAATATGTTGATAATTTTATTAATATTTTCCATATCCTTGCTAATAGTCCAATTATTTTGTTTCACATTATCTATTTCTAAAATGCTATTTTGTGATTTATCAATTGAACACCAAAGACAAAAATTTGCACTATTTGCAGATTTAAGTTCTAAGCAAATACTAAGAAATTTCTAATCTGCAGAAATATATAATTCAATCTTCCATTTATATCCATTTTCATCAATAAATCCAGATTTAATTTCATGTAATTCTGCTATTAATGGAGCTAATGCAATTTGTAATATAGTATAACTTTCTATACCAGGATAGATAAGTAATGCAAAATGTGAATTAGATTTAAAAATATTCATTTTATTTAAAATTGTAAATGTTACCATTACATGTTTAACCTTTTGTCCAACATTTCTACCATCACCAGAGATGTGTATATGTAATGTTGATTCTGAATAATCAAGTATACCTTTATTAATCATAGATAATATAAGAAATTTTAAAATAGAATGTCTTGCTCCTTTTCCTATTACACTTTCAACTTCATCAATAATTTCAGAATCCATAATATGTATCTCAAGACTAGGGCTAGTATCTAATTTATCTTTAAATTGTTGTAATTCAACTAAATGAATCGGAATATTTGTATTTATAATTTGATTTATTTGCTTTAATCTTTCAGAAATTACTTTTTCACATGGTAATTCCTGGCATATAGCTGCTAAAGCTCTATAAGTTGATTGTGAGATTCTATTAAAATCCATAGCTTGAACTATAGCAATTTGTTGATTAATTTCATCATCTTTTGGTTGATAAATTATTCAAAATTTTGATTGGTTTACTGTAAAAACCAACTCATTTATTGTAACTTTATCTTCTATAGCAAAATATTGCTTTATTTGATCCTCAATGTTAGGTAAAATATTTATACCAAAGTTTCTATTTCGTTCAAATTGTATTTGTCTTGTGATTTCAGAAAATGGTTTAATAGCTTTTTTTTGTCTTTTGGTACGATTTTCCCACACTAATTTAATTTGCTTTAAATGTAATACAAATAAATAGATACTATTCATCTTACTATTTGGTAATCGTTGCTGCAACTATATAGTTAATTATTAATGTTAATAATTTAAATATTATATAAAAAACATCAAATATTAAAATAATAAATATATACATTTGGATTTTTAGCTTTCTCTTCATCGGCAATTTTCTTATAATATGCCTCTAAGTAAGTATTTGCTGCAGCTGTTGGTGAAAGATTTGAACATATATATTCATTTTCACGTGAACCAAACTTTATTTTATATTGAGGTTTGTTATTATAATAATTAATAAAACATGTAACAGTTCTTTCATTCTTTCCATAGGTTGTTTCTACAACATAATTATCCGGAATTGGATAGTGGCTTGGCATTTTGGTATAGATGAGATAAGACTTAGATGGATAAACACCTTCTTTTACAATATAGTAACGAAAACTTCTTTGTGAAGACTTTCATTTAATTGTACGATTCATGGGGTAATTAGAATTTTCTTCACCAACTTCCTTCATTTTAAATTTAAAGTAATTTTGGGTAAGAGTATTTGTACGGATTATTATTATATTATTTACATTTATAGTATATCATAGTTTAGATCAGAACAATTATGAAGTCATATCGATATAGTCTATTAATTACATATATGAGTCAATTAAATAACTTACTATCGGTGGTCAAATTTTTCAAATTTTGGGGTATTTGACAAATGCGCCGTAATCTCTTTTACTAATTAATTCAATATTTATACAAAAAACTATATATTGAAATATTATAAATATCAGATATAAGATTTTTTTTTATAGCATGCTGAATACAATATATAGAAATTACTCTATTTAATAAAAAATAATTAAAAGCAAACTAATATAATTAGTAAATATAATTAAGTTTATAAAACTATTGCTATATAATCTATTGCTATTTATTTGGTTTAAATTTTGATCAAGATTAACAAATCCAGATACAGATAAAGCTTTATTAATAATATTGTATACTTTTAGAGAACTAACACTTATTATATAAATATAGCTCCCCCTCTCTGAGCAAAATTAACTTCTAGAGTACCAAAATTAGTAAAATTGTCAGCCTAGAGAAGGAGGCTATATTTACGTAATAAGTGTTAGTTCTCTTAGATTTTTAAATATAATACTAAAAAGAATTAAAAATAATAACAGGATTTTTTGACAATATTTTAAAATTTTTTTGAATTAATAACCAACTTAGAACTTCTTTTGGCTAATCCTTGAGATAAATCTGACACTACATTAATATGTTCTACACATGAGTACAGTGCTTATTTAGTAATTATCATCCTAATTAGTACATATTGTCTGCCACTATTGTGTTCGTATCTCATACTATCTTTTGGGGTGCTACTATAATAGAATCTGTATCTCAAGCACAACCTTTCTAATTAGTTCTTTTATTATTTACTTCACACTCTTTGTAAGGTTCATTACCTCAGTACTATATTTATACTCCATACTTTGGTTTTTGGTCTTTCAATCTAAATGGCTTAGAAGGATTGGTTTGCCCAAACCTGAGAGTCCTAATCTTAGATCTAAAGGTCATCTAATTCTTAGTACAAGCTTTTATAATGCAAGTTCTTTTTTTCTGGAATCTCATTATAGGATCTTTTACTAGATACCCTGTACTAAAGTAACTAATGAATATATATTTAGTGTAGCTCTAGTAACTCTGGCAGCCTGGTTGGTAGATCTTTTTGTCCAAAGATCTTTGTCACCCAAATTTTTATTTCTAGACTACTTTTGTAGTATTGTTGAAAGCTGCTAATCCTTACTTAGAACTTTCTCAAAACCTAGAGGTTCTCAAGCTAGTTTTAAATCTCTAGATTCTATATATAAGTATCTTTACTATTTTTTATTTTTAGAAGGTTTATTGTTGGTTTGTACTGCTTGTACCAGTTTGCATTTCTTTATACAATAGCACAAACACTTCTAGAAGCTTCTAGCACTCAGAGCTATTGGTGTGACCCCAATAACAGGCTATAAATTCAATCTAATTTGAGAGATCCACCATTATAATACAGGTATTTTTGTTCAAAATATTGCTATAGAATTTGAACTCAGTATCATAGTCAAGCTAGCTTGGAAGTATGAAAACTTCACTACTTTACTAAGTTGTCACATTCAAGCTTTATTTTAATTATTTTTTTTTTTTTTTTTTTTAATATTAAAGGTGACCACTTAGGCCATTGGCATGAGCTTTATTTCGGATAGTTA